TAAAATTAATTTATAAAGTAATGTTTTTAAATACTATAATTAATTATAAATTTATAAACTAAAAAAATAAATTAAAATAAATATAATTATTACACTTTTTAAATACCCTTAAAAAAATCGCTGGCAATGAGCAAGCTGCATGCCCCAGTTGGGGTCATTTTAGGTTGGGAGGCACTGAGTTTTGTCTTTTCATTTTCCATGTTTGGACAACTTGAAAAGTCAAATCAAATCATTTCAGTGCATAATTAAAGTACGGACATAATTATGATAGCAGAAAAAATTAGTTAAAATCACACCTAAATATAAAAATTATATTTAATTTCATTATTAAAAATAATTAATAATTAAAATTATTAATATTCATTATGTAATATTTTAAAATTAATTTAATTAAAACCTTATTTTTAGTGCCTTTATTTTAACAATAAAATTTTTTTCTCTATTTAAAACAATTTTTTTTTTATTATTTCAAGTTTATTATTTAGCTTTTTTTAATTTATTCATTATTTTTTTCCACATGCAATACATTAAATAATAAAAATTTTAAAATTAAAATTAATTTTTTTTTTTAATTTTAAAATTGTTATTATCTGATACATCATATATGTAAAAAATTTAAAAAAAAAACTAAATAATAAACTTTGAAAATTAAAAAGACTTTTTAAATAAATCAATTAAAAAATGTTTTCTTAAAATAAAGAAATTAAAATAAAATTTTAATAAATTAATTTATAAATTAATATTTGTAAACACTTAATAATTATAAATAAATAATATTAATTAATCAAATTAAACATAGGACTCAACAATTATTTGTGCGGCATGGCCCTCAGCGTACTATAACAGTATCATAGATACAAGGGTCGTTGGCTTGCTTTTTGACTATATGGTTGGCATGCAGTGCAATTCTACACTTTTCTGGCTGTCAAAAACTAATTAAGTCCAAAAATTGCATTCAACCCTTTCCAGAGATTTCGACTCTCAACAATGAGAGAGACATTGGATTGGATGTCTAATTAACATAGGAAATGTTAATTTCTACCACCAACCAACACAATGACGAGAAATTTCATATGTTCTTCTGGATTACATAATAACTTTCATCAATACTAGCTTTCTTCCCCCAATATGAAATGGATGTCCCCAGGAGTGCTGCAATCTGATGTTCAGAAACAGAAGGACAAAAAGAGAAAATACAGTTTTAAGAATCAGTACTACGGTTGCTTTTGTTTAGCTTCACCCGTCCAGTAAGTTTTAACAGAAACCAGAATTTTCTCCATAACGAAGGGTCCATTTTCGTGGTCACGGACATGGCTAACCCATCTCATTCCATCAGTAATACTCTTTATCTTCTCCACCATCTCCACTGTATCCCTAAACACAACTGCCCCTTCTGGCCTCAGAATTCTATCCATCTCTAGCAGTATGAGGCTAATGTCACACCTTCAAAGCATAAATTAAAACACATTAACACTAAATCAAAGACTGACAGGATTAAGAAAACATCCCATGTCATGTTTTTTATTTTATTACCTGTCTTGATATATACTGAACACACCATCAGCATGTATGAAATCATATGTTCTTGGATACGTGGAGAATGCCTCACACCAGTCCTGATATGTTCCGATCAATCCTCGTTCGTAGATTACACCGAGAGTGTCATGGTCTGAATTGGCAGGGACAACATTCATGACCCAGACAGGATATTTTAACATTGCAGCTGCAAATCCACCAAGGTAGGCATTCATGTCAAGTATATTCCGGTATCTTCCACGATGAAGGGACGGAGTGAGTCGTTTGTAATATGCCACTCTGCGCTTCCATACTTCATTATCCTCCTGGAATTTCTCCAGAGTGATGCCTGGAATGGAATTGCTGCTAATTCTAGGAGGGACAGCAAATGCACGGTCTGGCCATTTTTCAATTGCACCACCAGCTATATCATCTGTGTTGCTTACCTCTGGAAGTGGGGTTATGCAAGCTTCAAGATCTCTGTACCTTTTAGCCAAAAAATCCAAATGCCAAAATGTGTCAAGAAAAGTGTTTGTATACCACAGGAACTAAATGTTACATGGATTATGGATCAAGTGTCAAACATGAGTTTGTAAGGTAAAGTGATAGTATACCAAGCAGAATCCGGATTGTCTGACTTGCATATATGAGGTGTCTTATAAACCTTCCTGCTTTGGATGCACTCAATGTGGTTGATAGGCTTTTGAAAAATTAATAGATCCCCCTTTTCAATCACTTTTTTCCAGCATAGTTTCCTTGCAACTTCTTCAATGGCATCCTGTTCTTGTTTTAAATCTTCCTGTGTCCTTTCCCATCCTCTCCAGTATTTCTTCCAATGAACAGGAGGACCAGAGAGAACCCAATAGCCACCAGGCCTCAGAACTCTGTCCACTTCAATCAGATATAATCCATCTGTACCAAATAAAATGGATTCTTAGCTAAATTCAATACACTCTGGGACCTTCTAATAAATTAGGAAATGAAGAGAATTCCACATAGTTCCATCAAATTTACAAATGAATTCAATGTCCATTTTGATTAAAAACGTATCCTAAGGAATATGAGGTGTATAAAGACACCTTACCATACTTATACCAAGGTATTAAACAACGGGAGCAGTGAGCCAAATCGAAAGCCCTGGCTGGGTAAGGAAGCCGTTGTGAACCCATGATTCCAATCATTGCAGGAACTCCTCTCTCTAATGCAAACTGGACCTGAGCTTCGTGTGTGTCTCTTGGTGCAAAGGACATTGCTATTACATCCCTTTTCAAAAGGAATGCACCAAAACTTGCAACCTTAACACCATAGCAGAGAATAAAAGACATTAGCCATTTCAGTACACTCTTTTTAACTTTCCAGAAAGTAAGTAATAAGGTACAAGGACCAAAGGTAAATAATGGCATTGCATAGGTTTCAAATCAAAATGAACCTAAAATCAGAAACTTAAAAGCTTGAATTGTCGAGTAAAGATCAAACTATACCATGCAATCTCTAACACAAACAAATTCTAATTACAAAGATAAAGATGCGAAGTACTTACACCACAACCAGTATCAATAGCTGTTCTTATTGTTCCATCAGTAAGGGGAATTAGCTTGCCAATATCATCAATATAGGCATCAGCTCCACGGGGAAACATAGTGCCTCCCCCGGGGAATCTGAATCGGTCACCCTCAACCTGAATCCAATTCTGAATAGCCTTCTCAATGCTGAGTTCTTTATGGGGGATATTGTCATACCAGGCATAATCCCGACTTTGAGGCCACATGAGAGGGGTCTTGTACTTAGGCGGAGCAGGAATTAGGCAGAATAGAAGCTCATCCTTGGAAGGACAATGCCGCTCTCTGTACTTCAACATGTTCCGGTCGTATCTCCTCCCCCTCACCTTATCTTGGCAGGGGGTGTACTCACTCAAAGACATATCACACGGTTCAAACTGCTTGACTGCATTGGATGAGTTGATATCAAGCTGATGATGGCTTTCAAAGTCCAAGGTACCGAGTGAGGACGATGGTTTAACCGAAACGTCACCACTGCTACCACCTGATGCCAGAGTGTTGTTGTCACAGCCAACTCTTGCATAAACATCGGATTGGGTAGTGGGAGTTGCATTCTGCCAAGCTCCCAAGATGTAAAACAGAATGCAGAGGCCACTGATCCCTAGAATCCAGGTGAGCCGCCTCCGCTTTGTTTCAAGCTGATGATGCTTTGGTGATCCGCTATACTCCTTAGCCATTATAATCAGCTCAATTATCTATCGAAAACCTGACAATGGGGAAAGAACACTGGATTGAAAGAGAAAAGAGTGACAACAAAGAAAGTGGACAGAGAACAAGATATAAATCATGAATTCTCAGTGGAGATGTCAAAATAAATTGGGTTTGGGCCAAAAAGGATTAAACTTTCTTTTTCTTAGTGGATTTTCCTTATTAATTACACTTTTAAAAAAGAATAAAAAAAAAATGGAAGAAGAAGAAAGAAACAGAAACCCATTTAAAAGAAAAAAAAGATCACACTTCATAGCTTAGAAATTTATTTTCTCATTTTTGTTTTGAAGAGCCAAATGGAGAGGATATTGTACATAGAAAACAGAGAAAAAACAGGGGAGTGATAAATAAAAGAAAAAAAAATCATAGAATGAAGATCCAGCAAAAGGTTAAAGAAAAGAGAAAAACATAAATTTCCTCCATAGATAATCTCCAACCTCTCTCCCTCCTTTTTCACCAACAAGGGAAAGGAGAGAAAAATTATGCCTCTCAAAACTCAAATAACCCTTAATTAAAACAAACAAGCAAACAGCTTTTGCCAAGCCCAAAACTGAAAGCAAACAACCTAACCCTGGAAAAGAAAAAGAAAAGAGACATTACCTGAACAAGGTGATCCAGCAGCGTTGAGACTTGCAAACTTCCCGAGTATGATTATTGTAGAAAGTAATCATGGATTACTCAGGAACAGAAATTACTTTCTTTTGATAAAATTAGTTATGTTACGAATATAAGAATGGAAGAAAAGCAAGAAAACATGGGTGTAGAGCGAAAAGTCATAATAATGGGAAAATTGTAGAGGGGAAGGTAAAGATCTCCGCTATTTCAGGGAGGAGCCACAGAACAGAAGGGTGAGAGACTGTCACTGTTCTTAATATTAGAAAAAAAAAATGATTCTTTTTGTTCTAGTTTGTAATGTATTTTTTTTAATTTTGATTTTTTTTTTTAAATTTGCTAAAAATGGAGAAAAGGAAGGAGGAGGTCTAAGAAAGGACAAAAGTGGCAGAATTAGAGCAATCAAAGGAGGGTGACCAGCCCCATTTTTCTGACTCTGTTTTCCTTTCCTTTCTCTTTCTCTCTCTCTTTTTTTCCTTCCTTCTTTCCGGTTTTTCCTTCCTTCTTTCCGGTTTTTCCTTCTTTTTAGGTTCCCAACCCATGTGGGAGTACCTATTGGCTGTTAGCTTATTTGCAACTAGAAAAGCATTAGCTTTTTGATGCTACTTTTTTGCCAGATTGAAACTTAAATAAAATAGAAGGGCATGTTTGGATATAAAGGAATTAAAAAAGAAAAATCACACGTTTTTCAATCCTATGATAAATGATATTTTATTATGGGATAAAATTTTTTTTATATATTAGTTTATTACATAATTTTTATATAAAATTATAATTATTTATTTTTAATTATTAATAATTAAGATTTATTATAATTTTTTAAATGATAAAAAGATAATTAATTTTAAAAATAAAATAAAAAGTAAGTAAATTTTAGTTATTTATAGTGAAAAGATGTATTTTATATAAAAAAACATATATATAATTATATATTAATTTATCCTTAATTTCTTTTAAAGCAAAAAAAAAAGTTATCTAAATGGATATAAACAAATAAGTATAAAAATAATATAATTATAATATCATATTATATTATAAATTTATAACAAAATATATTATTATATAATTAATTTTTTATTTAAAAATTTACATATTATATTATATATATTTATTTAAAATTATATTATATTTATTTAATATTATATTATAATTAATTATTAATATATAATTTTATATAAAATTATAACTATAATTTCTTCCAAACAAGAATAGGCTAACCCGAGTCTTTAGGAAGGGTACCCCTAAGATTTTAACTAATCGAATCGCGGGACTTCTCCCCTCCCTTGTCCGGTTGTTAACAACCCCACTACACTCGCAGAACAGAAATAATAATAATAAAAGGAAAAACTTGCCCTGTTTCAATAGTTTGGACCCGAGTTAAATTCCAGAATTTGTGGTGTATATATATAGATATATATATCGTATCAAATTCTTAAACTTTAAACATTAATCATTAGACCACGACGAGGGCCTGTTGGCTCCTATTTTGAGCATGTCATACGATGAATGATGAGGTTCTTCTTTTTTGTCACAACAACAATTCTCTTGCCCTTACTTTCTACTCCCCTTTATACATATATATTAGTTGCATAATAAAAAAGATAGTTATTTTTTATTTCATTTTACTTTTATTTCATCCTATTCATATAATATGTGACTTAAATTAAAAATATTTTATTTTTAATAAAAATAAATTAATACTTAATTATTTAGATTATTAATCTTACCCATACTTTCTCAACTAGGACAATTAAAAAAATAGATTCTTGGATCTAGTAAAAATTTTTAAATCTTAATATTTAAATTTAATTAATTAAAAAATTATAATTATTAAATTATAATAATAATTAACTCTTACTTATCCCAATACACTCACATTTTATATTACTAAAAACACACAAATTTTTACTAAGCCATTCAAACGATGACATGTGACACATCTAACTTTATAAATCGATTGGTACCGATGTGTATCACCAAACCTTATAAGGTGGGTTGAATCCCTTCCTCTCAAAAATTGCCCATTATCAAAAAAAAAAAACAAAAAACAAAAAACGATGACATGTGACAAGAGCGCTGTGGCTGGCAAAGAAAATACGCAGCTGATAGTCTAAAACATGACAACAAGAAAACAACAAAAATGGTGGGCCACGTGGCACGTTGTACTGTGGCCAAGGGGAAATGATTATCATTACCGACCAAAAAAATAATGAAATTATTAAAATTATAAAATATTATTTTTAAAAATTTTAATTTTATTAAATTTAATTGATAAAATTAATTAATGTTAAAATTATTAATTATTAAAATAATTAATATTTATTAATTAATAAATTATTATCTTAAACATTATTTTTATCTTAAAATAATTATTTTTTATTTTTAAATTAAAATTTTAAAATAATTTATAAATTTATTTATATGACTCTTAAAAATATTAAAACATAAACTTTTTTTATAATAAAATAATTAATTAAAATAAATAAATAATAATAATATAATTAAAGTAAAAATTTATTTATTTAAAAAATTAAAAATAAATAATTATAATTATTTAAAAATAATTTTGTTTGAACATAAAAAATTATAAATAAATAACTTTTTTTAATTGAAGCTCTCAATTAACTAAAAGTAGATTTTAAACTCTGAAGATGAATCATTGGCCGAAATCTAATTCAAATATTTAAAAATAATAAAAATAGTCAACGATTTAAATAATTTAATAATAATTTTTTATTTAAAATAAAAAATTTTAAATTCGAATAATATAAGTAAGATGAGATAAAAAATTAAAAATAATTACTTTTCGTTGTATAATAAATATAAAATAATAATAATAATAATTAAAGCATTTTAAACAGTTAATAAAAATTAGATTTTTAATTAATTAAAATCAAACGCTAAAATTTACGGACGAAACATTGAGATCCAACACCTAAATTTAAAAAAATTAAAGTATCAGTGTCCATAACATTAAACATTTATGGAGGGTTGCAATAAGCACCCTGGTTAAGAGGGTAGTGTTTTGTCGCTTACGTATAAAAATAATATTCCTGAGCAGTAAGCATGCAGGTCCCACCTTCAACAGTCGGCATCGGCCCGAAACCTCCAATCCAAAAGGCAAAAAAAAAAGTCGTAGTAGAATACTAGTAACCCAAACACGGAAGACGAGAAATCGATGCTCAGTCTGCACCTCGCATTAGTACTTGGGGCTTTTCTGTACTCTCTCATACACACACGTGAGACTCTGGACAGATCGCATGCTCCAACTCCGACGCGTTTTGTTTCTCTCAATTTTTTCTCATTTGTAGTATCTCTCCGCCTTTCCGCCATGTCACCGTCGTTGATCACGGAGAAGTAAGTGATGGTATTTTTAGTGATTTTTAAGTTAGTCTTAAATTTGATATTTTTTTATTTTTTTAGTATAAATATTAATAGTATTAATGTAATTTTTACTTTCAAAAATACATATATCTCTTTTTCTTTTTCTTAATGTAAAAATGGCACATATTTTCCATTGCTTTGGAAAAAATTTTAGTACTATGTTTAAGCTCCATGTCTCACTTGTTAAATTGTGTTTGTGGTCATTTTACCTAATTATCACACTCTTATTTTTTAAAATAATGCCCTTATTTTAAAATTATCTTTATTACTCTAATTTATTGATAAAAAGTAAAATTTGTTTACTAACAATAAATGTAGTATTTTAATATTTAATTATTATAATTTAAAATTTCCCTTAAATTGCACCCTTGAAGTGAGATAACTAGAAAAAAAAA